AAACATAGGTATACATCCTTTTTGCATTTGAATTGCTCCTTCTAATATCATTCTGAGCATACATAACACATTCCTTGTCCCAGTCTATTTAACAAAACTGTACTGTTCTTGTCTTATTTCTGGTCTAATTTTGCTATGTGCTCTATTCATCAGAATTTAGATAAGTTTTATGATGTGGAAGCCGATTGCCTGATGGATTTTGCATTCATTTGCACTTGATTTCTTAGGCACCACTATGAAAACAGAACTACTTAGATCTCCCAGTATTATCACCACTGTCATGTATATTCCATTTATTGTGTCTACAATTTTGTCAATGCCAAAATCATCAAACACTGCCAGCATCTCTATTATAATTTAATCTGGACCTGCTGCTTTCTCCCTGTTCAATTTGGCCAGTGAGGATTTGAATTCAGACTTTAATAGTTACAGTTCTTCCATATTTTTCTTTATTGCAAGTTTTCCAATGTATTCATTCCATCTTTAGAATATTTTTTCTTTCTCTATTATCAACATTCTCTTTTTTTGATTTTATGCATCCTGTTGATGAGCATGTCTTTTCTCCTGTTGTTTTTCATTCTTTTATGCATATCTGCCTTGTGTATGATGCTCATTCTTTTGATTTCTCTACTCTTTTCATTGAGCCATTCAGCAAACACAAGTCAGTGATTATAAAGCTCCATTCAAGAACTTCTCCAAATTCTTTTGACATCTCTCCTACTACAGAAGAAGAAGGACAGCTTGGAAAACTTAATACACACAGGACATGCTGATGGAAGAAGGGGTGAAAAGAAACAGTGAGCAATTTACCCAATGATTTTTGTGTGAGTGGATGGCAGAGTAGGAACAAGGGCGGGGGTGGGGGGTGATAAAGAATTAAATGTTGCTTAGAGCTATGATGGATAGGAAGTTGAGGAGAGCTATGTAATACAGAAGATAATAAACACTCCAGAATGAATATTAAAGAAGCAAAGCACATGGAAGAATAAATTATAAAGATTTAGTCTTTAATTTTAATTTTTTTAAATTTCATGTCCTTTTAGTATGTAAGCGATCATGATTCTCCAGAGATTCTTTTTCTGTATCATCTGTGAATTGCCATGAATTCTTGGGAAAGACATTGGAATAGTTTTTATCCCATTGCCTTTTTCACTCACGGTATTTAATTTGGAGTTTTCTTTCTCCAAGACTGGCCACTACCAATATCTAGAGAGACCAGTATATCCTGCTGTTTAATCCATAGCTAAGAGAAGAAGACATGGATTCATGACTTGCCCAAGGACATTAATGTAAAAGTGAATGCAATATATTACAATGGAATTTAAACTTAGTTTGTCAATTTGACTTTAAATAAATAAACTAACAACATAAAACTGAAAATAATGAAGTTAAAGTGAAGAATGAAAGTTACAAAACAATACCACTGCTTTTATAATTGATAACAGATTTATGAAACATTATTTAAACATTTGGAGTAAGCAAATGAATTATTGACAGATTGAAGGCAAAAGAAGGAAAGAGAAAAAGCAGTGTGTAACCTACATAAGAAGTTTGTATGAATGGATGGCAATACAGAGACAAAGAGTGATGGTAAAGGGTCAAAAATTACTTAGAGTAGCAAAAGATAGGAAGTTGTGGAGAGATATGATCATCCACTTAAATGAATTTGTTTGAATGGATGGTGAGAACAAAGACAAAGAGGGATGATATAGATGAATGGATGGTGAGAACAAAGACAAAGAGGGATGATATAGAGTTAAAAGTTATTAAGAACAAAAGATAAGAAGCTGTGGAGAGCCATGATCTCTCACTTAATAAGTTTGAATGAATAAATGGGAGAGCAGAGACAAAGAATGATGGTAAAGGATCAAAAATTACTTAAAGCATCAAAAGATAGGAAGCTGTGGGGAGCCATGATTACCTACATCCTGAAAGAACTTGGCACATAAAAAAAGAAGAAATTAGTTATTGATTAATTAACTAGGTCCAGAATTGGCACTGGTAATTTTATCTCCATGAATACCACATCAAATGAAGCACAAATTGTCTACACAGTCAATATTGATGAGGTGAACAGGTTTATCTTATCTTTAATGAATTACCTCATTGACTCAAACTCAGTTGTAAGGTTTCTTTTTTTACTAACAGGAGAGAAGTGGAACTCTGAAGTATTAGTCAGAATCATGGAATTCTAGATGATGTATATATAGTTATAAAAGTGAGATTACTTTCTTTAAAGAAACAGACTAACAGCTGGAGATATTGTTGTTAGAAATATCACACAGAGAATAGCCAAATAACTCACACATGAACATGTTATGAGAAATGATAAATTGATAGTTATAATATGAAAAACTTGACACCAGACCAAAAGCTAAAATCCATATTGAAATATTTATCAAATGAACAACAAAGAGACTGAATTACTCATATGACCTGCACAAGCTCACATTGTAAGAATAAATAATGACTATTAACTTTCAGTTATAATTTAAAGGCCGATCAGATCAAACGTGGGACTAATGAAATTCTGCTCAATTATCAATTTGCAAATAAAATGCATGATAAAACTATTTTTCTTATTTCTTCAAAGAAACAGAAAAATAATTTGGAAATCAAAGAAAGTATCCACATTTAATTAACAAATATGTGGATAATGAATTAATCAATTTTAAAAATCTAATACTAAAAATATTATTCAATATAGCAAAAGCAGATATGATTTTAAAACTATCTAAATTATTCAATGAATATTTACCTTCTAATAATGCATCCATTAAGAAAGCAATCAACTTTGTAATTAAAAGAATAAAAACAAAAAATAACATTTATTTTATAATTTTATTTTGATTGGATAATGTATACCTTGTGAATTTTACAACTGATCCAAAGCTTTATTTATGAATAAACTATTAAAATAAAGGATGATGAGAGAGTACTAGGTGTGACAGTTCCCAGTATGATCACAGCATGTCACTGTGGTAATAAGTTTCAACTTCTACACAGAAGAGTTGTTCATTCTCAAATATTCTCGCAGTTGTACATGTTCATGTTATACTGTTGGCAGTAAATGAGTAAGAGGAATCTAGATGAGCAGATTAATATCAAGTTTTGTGTAAAGATTGGTAAAAGTGGCAGTCAAATGTTGGCCCTATAAATATGGCTTATGATAAACCTGCTTCTAAGAAATAATGTTTTTAGTGAAACAGACGATTCAAAGAAGGATGAGAAGATGAAGACAATGACAAGAAATGGGCAGACAAAAGCACAAAGAAACAGATACAAATACCGACAAGAATGAAAACTTCAGTGTGTTCAGATTAAGTTAGCAAATGATAGCATAAAATTGAATACATGACAGGAAAGCAGTGCAAGAATTTTAACAGAAGATTTGGGAAAAAGAAAATTTTCTCAAAGATGGTGCCTTGAATCTTATGTGCAGATGTTAGCTTTAGGTTTCATCTGATCTGTTAAATAATACAATGATTTTTTGGCAGGGTCATCACCACTAATAAAATGTAATAATTTTAATACAACTCAGAAACAAAATGTAAAAGCATGAAATAGAAAACAATAGATTCACCTCAACTAAAAAAAGAAAAGGCATGCATGTTTCACTTTCAGTTCAAAATCATCTGGTGTGTTTCTTTGATCATAAGGGAATAATTTACTCCAAATTAAACTGTCACTCAACCTGTTTATTTTGGAAGTGTTGAAAAGGTTACGAGAATCTATTCAGTAGAAAAGATCTGAACTCTAGTCTGACAAGTGAATTCTACACCATAACTATACTCCTGTGGATGATGTATTAGGAGTCCCAGGCTAAGAAATCCATTACAAAAAGGAGCCTGATTCCTTGTAATTTCTGACTATTTCCAAAACTGAAAAATGTCCTAAAAGGAAAAAGATTTCCAGATATCCCTGAATATGTGTACATTATTGAAAGGTATTCTAGAAAAGAAGTTCCAAGAATGTTTCCAGCAATAGCACCATTTTCTCATGAAGTATGCTGCTTCACAAAGGGAGTACTTTAAAGATGACAGAAGCCAAAAGTAACCAGGTGAGAAAACTTAAAATTGTCACACACACACACATATATATATATATATATATATATATATATATATATATATATATATATATATGCACCAACAGCTTAAGAGTATATTCTTTGACTGATGCCAATTCAGCGGGTTCCAACCCTAGCTAGAGACAACCGGGACGTCTAGCCACACTGATGAACTGTGATACAGCTAAAACAGTCTGTCTGTGAATGACTATATATATATATATATATATATATATATATATATATATATATATATAGAATATGCACAAGCTGCTTGATAATAATAATAATAATAAACATTTAGTTTCCTACTGATATTTTAATTATTTGCTACCCAGTTTAAAATCATCCTCTACTACACTTTCCAGAAAAAGTATTTATATCACCAGTACTGCATGTAGAGTTAAAAATAATACAAGGTAACTTTCAGGAAATTAAGTATATACACTAATGGAAAAAAAACAAAAAAAAAAAAAAAAAAAAAAAAAAAAAAAAAAAAAAAAAAAAAAAAAAAAAACAAAAAAAAAAAAAACGCGACAATTCCCTTCTGGTTGTAGAATGCTTTTAGACAATGGCTATTTAAATAAAAACAGAAATTAGGATAGCAGTGTGAAAAATACATGCTGAAGGGGGATACAATGATATGACAGGAAAGTAACAGTCAAGTTATTATCTAAGTACAAGAATTTGAGAAATATTTGATTTAATTTGATTATTTTATTTTTAAGGTTTTAAAAGTAAAATCCAACTGATACAGAACTGAAAATTTATAGAAAGATAATACGTAAAATATATCAAAGTAATATCTGCAAAGTTGGGTTACATGATGAAAACAAACAAAATTCGACACTGATTATTTAGCATCTAGTACCAACATGCATCAAAGAAAAAACAAAAAGGAAAAAAGAAAAGAAAGAAATAAAAGACTTACTGAGCTTGCAATTTGTTCCATAAAATCCTTCTTTGCAGCCAGTGGGACACTCTCCTGTCACTGGGTTACATTTTGCGTTATATTTACAATTACATGTGTGCATACATTTCCAACCAAACGTTTTATTTTTGCAGCTTGGAGCTGAAAAATAAGCAGTGACAATTAAGACAAATGAAACAGGAATCAAAAATAGAAAATTTAACAAAAATGAATAAATTTTCAGATAAATTTTTAGTTTTGCTGCAATTTCTGCCTGTTATGATTATTTTCTTTTTACTCTGCAGTGTGAAGCCTAGGAATTCTTCAGCATTGACAAGTTCTCTTTTCCCTTTTTCTTAGGGCCTACTTTACAATTCTACTAGATCCAATTCACTGCTCTCATAGATAATACAAAGGTTACAAGCTAGTCTCATTGAAAAATTCTTCTCATACTGATTTTGGCTAGTGGTTCTTCTACAGTTCACATATCATTTTTTTTTTTTTTTTAACTGAATTAGATATTAATTTAATAACTATAATTTTGAATGTATTCAAACTGTTTAAAATCTAAGTTTGAAGGATCAAACTTTGTTTTTGTAAATACAGCATGATATTAATTTTTCATGGTGGTTTTTTAAAGATGTTTTGGTCAATACATAATATACAATTGTTTCTCAATCCATATTTATAATATTTTCTTTTTAGCTTTTAGCTGAGAGTGGCATATTTAAATATGGAATGGAATGAAATCATCAGTTAGCTAATACAACTTAGAAAACAGAATAGCTGAGAGGCAGAGGAGTAATACTTGGGTCTAGTATTGTAAACAGTAAATTATAAATCTTTTTAAAGTTGATATGATATTTAGATCAATGCAGAGAATTAGTTTAAGTTTTTGGACAAGACATTTTTGAGCAGTAGAGACCATAACCAAGAATTATTTAAACAATGCTCCTTTACATTTTACAAAACTTATTATTGCCCACATTGCCAAAAACAGCTTCAAAGACACTCTGGGAAGCAATAAAAACTACTGCAAGTAATGTTAAATTCAAAACAGTAAAAAAGCTCATAAATCAAACAATCAAGACTAACCGTAGTCAGAATCATGGAGTCACTATTAACTCCATGAGCCTTTCATTAGCTGCAAAGTATGTGCTTCACTAGGGCTGCCATATGGTTCTCTAGACTGACTGCTACCAAAGCTGAAAAGCCCAGTCTGCTTTACTATTTAAACCCTAGCTGGGAGACTCGCAAAGAGATGGATTCATACTTTTCATAAGGGGATTTTGCACACAAGTGAATGTAATGAACTTAACTGGAATTCAAATTCCCATTCAATTTCTCATTCTGAACCACAATCCATTACACAGCCTGCACAGCCTCAGTTAATAAATCAATGGACAAAAGACTTATGAAGGTCATAGAAGATTGAGGAGCCCATATCAAGCGGTAAAAAGAATAAAACAATTTATTCTGGTATATGGGATATTGTTTTTTGGATTTATCTCTAAATAAAAATGTGTTTTACTTAGTTTACATAATAAAACCTGACATTCTCAAAACACGTCATCAGCATTTTTAATAAAGACAGATATTATTAATGGAAAAAAGAAGTCTACCCTGAAAATTTGAACAACTTTTAATGCCTATTTTTATTATCAAAATATTTGAATAATAAAGTCTAACAGTGTAATACAATAATGATTAGCCAATTGTATTGCATTTCTCGTTCTTGCACACAATGGATAATATTCTATTGAAACATTTCTGTTTGTATCTTCTTGTGTTGAGAAACAAAACAGGAAGTGATGAGAAGCTAAAAACTTTAAAAAAAAAAAAACTTTTAGTTCAGTTCATACATTGAACACAAAAAAGAATTCTCTTATCAAAGTTTCTTGAGAAAATCAGAATTCAATTGAGACTTTTGTAGAGAGCATATATTCAATTAGAATTTGGTAGAATAGAAGTTCAGAGAATAAATAAAATTGTAGATGGTGAACATGATTTTCTATCTATCTTTTAGCCAATGTTAATGAGCAAAGATTCTGTGTAGTTTGTTGGTAGAGTAAAACAGAGTTTTCTTTAATACACCAAATGTAACTGGTTCAGAAGTCTGACAAGTCTAACAAAACTGAAAGATACATTACTTATATCAGGCTTCACAGGAAGCAATGAAATTTACTGAAACTTTACTCAGATCAAATCTGAGATGAAATTTAACATCTTTGTTCCAATCATTAAAATCTATAAAGTTTTTTCTCAATGGCATCTTTAGCGACTATCACTCATCTCACTTTTATTACATTTTTTTTTTACTGGTTCTCAGTCTCTTAAAGGGACAAGTGTAGTCACATTTTGTCACAATAATATGCACATAAAGTAGGAAAAAAAATCAGGTAACTTTTGAAAAATTGTGAATTGCATGAAGCATAAAAAACAGCATTGTTAGCAGGTCTTTTTAATATTTACAATTTCAAGCATCAGACAATGAGACTTTTCTTTCTAATAGAATGAATTAAAGACAATTTTGTCTTCTGATCACATGATTACTTTCATTAGTCATGCCTCTCACTTATATATGAATTAAGTAGTTAAGTGTTTTTGGCAAGGTTAACTTTGTTAGCCGAGTTTCCAACATCAAAACTGGCCATGACAGGTAGATACGGCATATTCTGTCATACCATATTGAACTAGAGCCATTCTGAATGACTTGTCTTTCATATTGCCTGAGTAGCCATCTTTGTACCACAAGCCTCTGCTTATAAAAAAATATCTATAAATATCAATCATAATTGCATGTATGTATGATTTATCTATGTTCTTTACCTTACTTATGGCAAAAAATTATATACTGTCAAACGCATCATTTCATGGCATTGATACTCGTTTAGATATAGCAAAGGTAGACACTATGCCAACATTATAAACCTTAAAGAAATTCTAAAGTTGAAGTATAGATCAAAATCTTAACATTCCTACCATGTAAATTTTTAAAGAGTAAGAATGAAAAAAAAAGTGTAGAAAGACACTGATGTCATACCTTAAGAAACAAGCAACCTTGTATGACTATTTTAGTTTATTTTATCAATACAACCAATGCAAGACCAAAAATTGTGCAGAAGCAACTGAACAGAAACTATTCAGATATTCAGAAAACTAAATTTAGGTAAGTTACTTGTGCATCTCTTTTGGCAAATATAGAAATTCAATGATCTCAGATCTCTTCCTCATCTTTATAGCAAGATGATTCAAGAGTAAGAACAATTTTTCTTCTGGAGCAAGGATCAAAGGGTAGTATGTATTATTTCTTCATAGAAAGAGATATGCAATTTAACTTTATGCTTGGATTTAAACATTCATTTTTTTTTCAAATAACAAGCAGCTAATCATTATCTTAATAAAAAGTACATTAAAACCTTACTTTGAAACCTTTATCTTCCAAGCAAACTAAATCTTAATGGGGTTTTACTATTTTCATTAAACTAATTCAGAAATGTGTCAAGTTGTAATATAAAGAAAATAAAAATATTAACAATTCACAACTGCTAAGAATTTTGTATATCTCTACAGCAGTGTTTCTCAACTTTTTAAGCAACAGCACACCTAGAAGCAAATTAAAATATCATGGTACAATTAGTAAAAATTTTAATAGGGTATTTTAAAAAAATGAATATTAAAAAAAAATTAAAAATAATATAAATCGAAGAATAATAAGAATTATTTTTAAAAAAGTTTAATACTTATTCATTTATTCAAATACCATTACTCTGCCCCCCCCCAACACAAACACATATTTATACTGTGACAATATTGTACAGCACACTAGTGTGCCACAGCACAATGGCTGAGAATCACTGCTCTACAGTGAAACATAAAATCTATTAATTACTATGTAAAGCACATCTGCAAACAAGAAATCTGCTGTGATCATCACTAAATAATTTTCTAAAAAACTGTACAGAATGCCTAGACTATGTAATGTATAGGGAGCAGCATACCAACAAAGTGATGCTGGGGTGTAAATATATAAAGTTCAATATACCCATCATAACACCCAGTCTGATAAGGGTATACCAGGCACATACATCACATCCAAATTGATGCAATATGATGAAAGGTTTTGATAAAAACAACACATCACATAAGTGAGGTCCAGCTAGGAATACGTTCAGGTCAGGTAATCCAGTCTACTCAGACTGAAGGCAAACCCAAGTATCTGGATGTGGCTTCCAAGTCAACTTAACTGCTTTATCCTTCAAACTTAAGAGAAAGAAAACTCCTGACACTCATCTATGATGCTCTTCCATTAGTCCAAATCATGAAGAAAAATGTACAGTGCATCAACCTTTAAGGGATGTGCTCAAATGGCTATGGTCAAGCAACTGACAAGTAAATCTATGGTGTACTGAACAGGATTATTTAGTGTAGCTCATCTTGATTCCCCAAGACAAAGTATGCACATGTTAACATTCTCAATCAAGATCTGAAACAGTAAGAGTCAGGCCTGGTGTACAGGATATTTTTTTTTTTTTTAATCTCTTACTTTGTTCACTCATGGAGCCAAGTTTATCCCTTCAAGTAGGTAGTGATACCTCAAATTCAAAAGGGAATACAGGTTTGATTTGTGTCTTGTGGCATATTTTCTTCAATAAGACTATATCTCTAAGCTAGTAGACAGTAAATTACTGTTTTAAAAAATTGGGATGGCTACTCAAACATATGTACCCACTAAATGTATCATTTATAGGAATAAGAAATGTTAGATTAAAAAATTCCATTGTTTTATATATATATATATATATATATATATATATATATATGTGTGTGTGTGTGTGTGTGTGTGTGTGTGTGTGTGTGTGTGTACACGGTGTGCATTAAAACGTACCAGACTATTTTTTTCCCAACAAAACTACTGTAACATGGGCAAAAACATTTGCATGGAAGGTGACGCCACTTTTCCTGAATACACACAAAATATTTTGTGCCAAAGGCTTAGTGATACTAAAGTTCAAACCATCCAGAAGATTCAACAGGCCTTTGGTGATAATGCCATGGGCAAAACTCAGGTCAAGGAGTGGTACAATTGCTCCAATCATGGCCACACATCAGTGGAGATTGAGGCATGCTCAGGCAGATCATCCACAAGCTGAAACAAGGAG